TAAACCACCTTCAACAAAACCGTCTGAACTGCCAATGTGTACTATTATCAGCCTGCGTCCCTTTCCTGATGGTGGGTTTAAACCAGTAGATAAGTTATTTACAAAAGCGTGCCTTTGACTTGTAACAGTTTCATCCTGCCAAAATTTATTTGGTGTATGACCCTCGTTGATCCATGTTTCATCAAGATAAAATATTTTTCTTTTTTGGTTTCTCATTTCCTTTATGGTTCTTAGAAAATGTCTTCTCCATATGACAATATCGCTTCTTTCTAATAAAATAGACTTTCTGGGATTCTTTTTCCAGCGGAAGCCTATTTCTTTTAAAAGTTTCCATAACGTACTTCGACTCATTTCTGGGTAATCCTTATCATCTCGAACTGAGACAAGAACTTTATCCAATGTTGGAAATTCTTGTCTAAAGAAGAATTCATGCACTTTCCGTCGAAGTCCTTCTTTAAAATGATATTCTATTTGAAATTTTGGTTTCCCTGGAGCATTACGTGGCATTTGAAAACTACCACATTTCTCTTCTTTAATAACTCTGTAAATCGTAGATTTCCCAACACCAAGTGTACTGCTAACTAACTCAACGGTCTCATCAACACTTTCACATAAACGTTTGTCTGTAAATGATTTAAAACAATTAAATATTAATGTTTTTTCATTAACTGTTAAAGGACCAATTTTTCGGCGTTTACACGGCACTTCCAAATTTTCCATAACACTAGTATACACAATAAACTGCACCTTGCAACTGAAGTACCTACTTTTAGTGAACTGTTAAGAATTTTGAATACGCCACTTGGACCTTCCTACAAAATGGAAAAACCCACTATCACATTTTCTGTGGAATAAGTTTAGAAGGTAATTATCTAGTCAATTACTGTCGTAGATTCCTGGAATTAAAGAATTAAATGTTTGATGTTGAACCCTTACTTCGTGGAATGCACTCATTTCAGATAAAATAAAACGTTTTATTTTATCTAAAGAATTAAACTTTATTTTGCAAATAGGTAGGTACTTATTAAACTTTTATTGGTTATATATAACCAATAAAATAAACATCTTACATTTCTTGCAAATTCATTAGTACCTGTTAACCTCCATCACTCCGACACTGGCAACCTTATTTAGGGATTAGTAACCCTCACAACTATTGTATTCTATTCTGCTCCAACCTTTATACCTGGTGGTCATACTCAATTTAAAATTGTTTTCCTATATACTTCTGTAAACTTGTTGACAAATATCTGTTTTTCATTGAGTCACCCGTATCAACAGTTTAGGGATTTGCATACATAATTTATTGTTTTATTACTCTCTCATACATAAAAATACACTTATAATAGAGCAGCATTTCTGTTTCTGATTGACTTGAAATCATTTGATAGAGTTACACTCAAATATGTAATCCATTTTCGAGATAATACATAATTCATTCATTTTTATTTGATTTTAACTTCTAGTGTATTGTTCAACAATGCAATTTGTAAATATTATTTATTTTTGAACTTATGTAGGAACGAAGATTGATGTAGGAACAGTTAACAACAAATACTTTAGAAGTAAATAAGAAAAAGAAACGTTTACAAAGAAATCTAAACTGCCTTTTACATGACAACAAATACATATATTTATATTAGGTATTAAAATAAACTAAAAAAAAATATCATAGGTATACTATTGGATCAATTTTAGTTGCATATTTGAATAAAAAATGAAAACTACTAAAAATTCAAAATATTTGTTCCACCTGTTAACTGTTACTTAATACATTACCAAAATTTATGTAAAAAAACTATTCAGAATCATTATTTCGTGATATAATTTGAAATATTTGGAACAAATCCAATACTCCAAGCGATTTGGCTACAAATTTTATAATAAAAAGAGTGACCTCTGATATGAGATTTATAAATAACATTTGAAAAGGTTGGAAATAAATTTTCTTCACGTTGTCTGAGGAGACTTCAGTTTTGTTTAGTAGATGTCGCGGCATGTCCTTCGTGAAATTAAAAAACGTAAAAATTCAAGATGTTTTGCCGATGGTAACTGTCTTTTTTATTTGTATATCTTGTTGAATTTAATTTAATTTTTTTAGAAGTGTCATTATTGTCAAAATAGATAATATATATTATAAGCTATTTAGTTATTTTAAATAAAGTAATTTTTAAGATATGCATATAAGAATATAATTAATATATTTTGATTAAAGTTTCTTGATTGTTAGATATCGTTATTTAATCGGTTTGTCATAGAATAGAATATAATAGAAATATGATTTATTATTAATAAAAATTGAACAATTTTATGGACAAAGTTTACAAATAGTAAAAAAAATAACAAAAATTTACTTCTTCTTCTTCTTCTTCTTAAGGTGCCGTGCATTTCTGCGTAGACGTCCACCGTACATCGCCTTGTCAGGTGAGATGTTAAATTGTCAGGATTAAATAATTCTGTTTTTAGCAGCATTGCGAAGCATTTCATAGCTGTGGATTCCTGTCCATTGTCGAATATTGCGCAGCCATGACATTTTCTTACGTCCCAGACGTCTCCTACCCTCTATCTTCCCTTCGAGTATCAGTTGCCGAAAAGTGTATCTTTCTGCTCGTAATATGTGCCCCAACAAGTATGCAGTCTTCCTACTTTTTACATAACTAAAAAGTTCCCTATCCTGTGTTGTGTATTTAGGCCAGTAAAACACAGATTTACACTAAAAACAATTCTTTATTATAGACTTAACATGAGGTTTAATCTCGTGCCTCATGACAAGTGACAAGTCATCAGTAAAACATACAACAAGAGCAAGTGACATGACATGAGTTAGACATAGAACATATACAACATCCTGTAAGTCTTCTCTTCTGAGTACTTCCTCATTTTTGACCCTGTCCGTCCATGATATTCTAAGCATTCGACGCAGGCACCACATTTCAAACACTTCAAGTTTGTTAATGGAACTGGCCTTCAACATCCATGCTTCCATTGTACATGAGAACAGGCCACACGTAACACTTAAGCATCTTGTATCGGAGGTTGAAGTCCAATTTGCGATCTTTAGGCACTTTGAAAATATACCTTTTTCAAAGGAATCATTAATTAGTGAGACCAGGACTTCCAACATATTTTTTGGGATATTGAAGAAAATTTTTATGGATAGTTCATCAGTACTACAGGAAGATTTGCTTTTGATACTGCTGATTCTTTGGGTCAGTTCAGATTAATTAACTGGTCTTAATAAATAATGAATTCGAGACCTTTTTTGAATTGGGGAGATAGAAAATAGGATCTTGTTGTGGCAAAATAGCTGATGTTATATTTTAAATCACATTACCGAAGTGTTCATTTAGATTTTTAGAGTTTGGAAGAGAAAATGTTTAAGCTATGTTAGTTTTATTTCGAAGCTCGTTTATTATGGACCAAGTTTAACATTACAACCTACAACTGGTAAAAACTACATCGTTTCTTTATTTAACAAATACTTCCAATGTACAATTTAAATTCATATAAAGTTTTTATATATAATAGCAGTTCAGTAGTTACTAAGTAATGCTATACACAAATACCAACATCTGCTTCAAAATACCTACTTTGGTTCAGACCGGTCATAGGAGTACCAAAACTGCAGATTTTATAGCAAATGACTTAAAACAGTCAACCATATCTTGCAGGATTACCAGTCATTAGATCGCAGGTGGCAAACACTTTTCGGAGACTATTGAGTGATGACAATAACTTATAATACCCAGTGTCTGTCGTGTAGAGTTATTTAGTAATTACTATCACTACCCAAACTTTCAAGTACTCTATTCCTGAATGTTTGCGTCCTCAAATTATTGCCATTTGTCTGGATATAATGTTCTCATCTTTTAATGAATTTCGCCAGCTATGGTTATATCATCTCTCCATCTTGTTAGTATCTTCGTTTGTTTATTTCCTTATTCTCCATATAATAACATCTTTACTCCATCGGTCGTTCTCTCTTCGGATTAAGTGTACTCTTTGTTTTATTTTGAGGCAGCTTTGTTACTTTTTGGTTTAGTTTGTCATTAATATTGTTTATGGTATGTTTATTTTTAGGCAGTCCTATTTGTAAGTCTCTAATCATTTGCTGCAGTTTGGTTATGATTTTTTCCAGCACTTTTAATACCGTCTAAAATTTTATTATATTCATAGCTTTTTAATACGATATCCTTGTACAATTCTGCTTGCGTGGGTCTTTAAACCTTGAATTGTTAATGCTAATAGAGTCTACAAATAAATGTCTTCTTTGTCTCCAACATCTATCATATGTTCCACTCATCCGATTCTCGTGTTTTCGAAATGCTTTCATTGTTTTTGAAGTGGTGCTATTTCACCATCAATCAAAGGAATGAATTTGGAATGTACCTATATGTGCGTGTGGTGGGAATATTGACTGCAAAACCTATGGTTTCAATCGCTTAATCATGTTTGACTTCAATTTGTAAGACAATAATTAAAATAAAATCTAATAATATTTGAAATTTACATTATTAATATTTTAAAAACAATATAAAATTTGGAATGTAAAAATCTTCTTCTTAGCCTTCTCTCGTCCATGTGTGGACATAGGCCTCTCCCAACTCCTTCCATCCCCATCTCATCTGTAGTCTTCCTCTTGGTCGTTTACTTTCGTAAGGTCTCCAATGTTGTATTTTAGTATTCCAACGTTGGTATTTTTGTCTAGCAGTGTGGCCCGCGAAGCTCCATTTAAGTTTACCAATTTTTGTTGTTATGTCCTCGACTTTTGTTTTTAATCTTACCCAGTCGTTCTTCTTTTTATCTGACAGTCGCATACCTAATATTGCTCTTTCCATTGTTCTTTCTGTTGTGGCTAGTTTATTCATGTTTGCCTTAGTTAGGGTCCAGGTTTGACATCCATATGTCATGAGGAAAAGTTAAAAGAAGCTGTAGACTGAACGAGTCATAATAATTCTTGATTAAATTCAGTAAAATAAACTCATACTTTTTAAACTCATTTAATATTTACTATTATTATAAATGATTACATTGATTGCATAAGTAAAAATTGTTCAGAGGCAAACTCTGCACACGACTTACAACAAATTCTCTTATATCCCCCAATCTTACAATATCTGCTTAGCAAGGAAAAAGAACAATATTCGGACTCGTCCTTGGTGCATTTTTGCCTTCTTCTCCCTCTACATAAAGGGTTTATGAATCGGGTATGATAACCAAAACAAGATCTTCGTTGTGGTGATGGTGAGTCTCCGCAAGTGAAGAAAGTTTCGTCTTCGGGAGGAAGACAGTGGGATGATCTCGTTTGGAAGCCTGGACCACATGTTGAAGAACACTGAAAAAACAAAGTAAATATTATTAAATACCTTTTTTGCTCGAATTTCCTTCACCAAAACCCTATTGCTGCTCTCATATAATTAGTTTTGTACTATTTTTAATATATTATTAATGATATTGTATGTAATCAACTAATAGTTGTATAGTTTTTGTAATAAATATGGTGGATTTATTTAAAGAGTAATATAATTTATGCTGTTTGCTACGTTTAAACCATTTTTCATTATAAGTGACATTGATTTTTCAGATGTAGCATTCTTAAATGTTGCGAGATACGTGAAGGATTTGACCACTAGTTTTTCCACCAATAGAGAAAAACCCAGTGCTTTTGCTTGATGACATATACAGGTAAGATATCTCCATAATCCTATACTAGTAACTCCCAAGGCAAATGGACTAAAGACAGCTGTAAAGATAACTATGAAGTACTATCATATAACCAACTGATCTCTAGATACATCTTTAGAAAAACTAACAAGTTATCTTAAGACTATTGATGAAAATATTGAGGTTAACCAATTAAACTCGAGATATCCAAGAAGTATGCTTCATTTAATATTGCAGTTCCAGAGGCATAGTCTCAAAGACTTTTAAGTTATAAACTACAACCTTAGGGTATATATATATATATATATATATATATATATATATATATATATATATATATATATATACACTAATGAATTTTTTCGTTCCTTCATGCATAAACAATAACTACAATAACTAAAGTATTACTAAAGAAACGTGCTCTGCGTTTCACTTAAATAAACAAAGTATTACTAGTAAGGAAGTATGACATTTTTCGTGTTTCGGAACTCTGGCTAAACTCTGATAATTTACCAAGAATAAACTTAGACCATTTTTATAGTTTATTTTTATGAACGAGAGAGTAATTAGCATAATTTTAACTAGTATCTCCGACCACTCCATGGGCGTGCTCAAGATTAATTGAAAAATTACTTTGAATAATTGTAAAAAATAAATGAATTATTTCAGTGTTATAAAGTGTTATGTGTATGTAAACAAAAGTGACCTCTTTTATCACACACTATATTAGAACTGACTGGCCTACATTAAAAAAGGTTTTAAAAAATTCACATTTTTTTTTTAATTTTTAAAAATTACAAAAGAGAAAAAGAGTTTTTAAAACCGTCTAAGGTATGTTAAATAGATGAATAAAAATATTAATATAAAACTTACAGCTACTTGTTACAAATCCAAATCAGATTCAGAAGATGAACTTTCAGAACCAAGATTTATAATAACTGGCTTTATCATTTTATCAGTAATATTGTCCAGCTTTCACATTTTTTCCTCTTCTTTAATAGTGTGATTTACTGCCTTTTCCCAGTTTTCAGGTTTTACATTATTTACGGCCTCCAAAAATAACTGTTTAACATCATGAATTTTAAAAGTGGTATTTTTTCTTGAAACTTCACTCTTTATCTGTGCCCATACCAGTTCAATCGGGTTTAATTCACAATGATATGGTGGGGATCTAAGTACTGTCATTCCACGATTTTTGGCAATTTCATCATTTTTGTATTTTTTAAATTTTTCTTTATGAAGGGCACACAACGAATAAAGTTCCTTTCTTATAGATCCGGGATGGTACGTAATATTTTTTGAACTCAGCCAATTCTGCAAGTCTTTTTTTAACCACTGATTGTGGGCAGTCCTTCTATAAGTCTGGAGTGATAACTTGCATTATCCATTACTATTACACAGTTCTTAGGAAGAAGATCTATCATTTGTTCGAACCATTCTTGAAAGACATCAGCGTTCATGTTTTCATGGTAGTCACTGGTACGAGTTGATTCAAAAGTTAATAAACCACCTTCAACAAAACCGTCTGAACTGCCAATGTGTACTATTATCAGCCTGCGTCCCTTTCCTGATGGTGGGTTTAAACCAGTAGATAAGTTATTTACAAAAGCGTGCCTTTGACTTGTAACAGTTTCATCCTGCCAAAATTTATTTGGTGTATGACCCTCGTTGATCCATGTTTCATCAAGATAAAATATTTTTCTTTTTTGGTTTCTCATTTCCTTTATGGTTCTTAGAAAATGTCTTCTCCATATGACAATATCGCTTCTTTCTAATAAAATAGACTTTCTGGGATTCTTTTTCCAGCGGAAGCCTATTTCTTTTAAAAGTTTCCATAGCGTACTTCGACTCACTTCTGGGTAATCCTTATCATCTCGAACTAAGACAAGAACTTTATCCAATGTTGGAAATTCTTGTCTAAAGAAGAATTCATGCACTTTCCGTCGAAGTCCTTCTTTAAAATGATATTTTATTTGAAATTTTGGTTTCCCTGGAACATTACGTGGCATTTGAAAACTACCACATTTCTCTTCTTTAATAACTCTGTAAATCGTAGATTTCCCAACACCAAGTGTACTGCTAACTAACTCGACGGTCTCATCAACACTTTCACATAAACGTTTGTCTGTAAATGATTTAAAACAATTAAATATTAATGTTTTTTCATTAACTGTTAAAGGACCAATTTTTCGGCGTTTACACGGCACTTCCAAATTTTCCATAACACTAGTATACACAATAAACTGCACCTTGCAACTGAAGTACCTACTTTTAGTGAACTGTTAAGAATTTTGAATACGCCACTTGGACCTTCCTACAAAATGGAAAAACCCACTATCACATTTTCTGTGGAATAAGTTTAGAAGGTAATTATCTAGTCAATTACTGTCGTAGATTCCTGGAATTAAAGAATTAAATGTTTGATTGTTGAAACCCTTACTTCGTGGAATGCACTCATTTCAGATAAAATAGAACGTTTTATTTTATCTAAAGAATTAAACTTTATTTTGCAAATAGGTAGGTACTTATTAAACTTTTATTGGTTATATATAACCAATAAAATAAACATCTTACATTTCTTGCAAATTCATTAGTACCTGTTAACCTCCATCACTCCGACACTGGCAACCTTATTTAGGGATTAGTAACCCTCACAAGTATTGTATTCTATTCTGCTCCAACCTTTATACCTGGTGGTCATACTCAATTTAAAATTGTTTTCCTATATACTTCTGTAAACTTGTTGACAAATATCTGTTTTTCATTGAGTCACCCGTATCAACAGTTTAGGGATTTGCATACATAATTTATTGTTTTATTACTCTCTCATACATAAAAATACACTATAACTTGTCTCTTCTGCTTCTTGTGCTCTAATATTTTTTTAAATCGGCGGTATATTATGTCCATTCATTGATTTTAATAATTCCCATGACCCAAAGTTTCTGTCATAATACGAAGAGATAATGCACGATAGTTTGGACTAATTATCTATTGTAGAATCATTATAACATCGTAACATTGACGCATTATTTCATATTCTGTTACCAAATGACACCTGCATATTAAAATTACCTTCAGTTATTACTGTTTTCTCTGTTGGAGTATATCCAAGCAATATCTAATTCATTAATTCTCGTTAAATTCTCCAACAGAATGACCCGTCAGCAACAGAAATACTCGACACATTCGTCGAATGAATACATTCAAAATGTAAATGATAATGCCACAAGGTCCGGGAAAATAACAATCAAAGGGAGATGGAATTATCCAATCATCACCGATAATTACTTGGTAGATTGGTGCTATTGCTCAGCTATGCGGAATATGGACGGATCGCAAGGCATCCAATTTCAATTTTAGTTAACCTAATTCTAATAATCATTTAATAATTAGATGGTTGTTAAACATATGTTCGCTTGAAGTGTCGATGTCGGTATACAGGACGGATTTTTGTATAGTTGGGGCAGAGTTATAATTATTTTTTTACTTTGATTTTTAGATAGTATTTTAGTTTTATATTACTACATAATTCATAGAGCAGACCGCCTTGTTCAGTTCTGCCAGGAAACGGATAGTGCAACAATGAACACATTTTTCCAATTACCACCTCGATGACTCTACACCTAGAAATCTCCAGCTGACTGTCCAAAAAAATGATTAGAAACCAGATTGACTACATCATGATCAACAAACGATTTCAGAATTTCGTAAAATCCGCAAAAACCGGGAGCAGATGTTCCATCAGACCATAATCTTTTACTAGGACGTTTCAAAATCCATATGAAAAAAGTCCATAAAAGAAAAGCACAAACATGTCCGGACATCCAGAAGAAGTCAGTATTTCTGGATGTTCAGGACCAGAAATATCGCTCAGTAAAGTAACATATGCAATAAAAAGACTAAAAACCAACAAAGCACCTGGACCTGATAACATACAAGCTGAAATATTGCAACTATTTGAAAACAACCAACTCAAACTCCTAACGAGTCTACTGAACAAAATCTATAAAACTGCAGAATTTCCTACAGATTGGCTAGTTTCCACCTTCATCCCTCTCACCAAAAAGGAAAATACCACCAAATGCTCTGATTCCAGAATTATAAGCAATACTAGATTCTTTCAGATACTGAAAGAATCTAATATTAATGACAAAGATTTATGCCTAATTAAAAAATGATACTTACAGCAAAGGGCAACTGTACGAGTAGACAATGAAACCTCACAAGAATTTACGATAAAATGGGGAGTACGTAAGGGACGCATTTTGTCACCGACGTTGTTCAATATTTAATCGGAAATGCTGTTCAGAGAAGCTATTGATGGTGTAAGAGAAGGTATAAAAATCAATGGTGAAATCATAAACAATTTAAGATATGCGAATGATACGGTTTTGATTGCTGATAATGCAGAGGATCATCGTGTAGGGGAAGCCTGTAACAGATACGGCATGAAATTAAACTGTAAGAAGACCAAAATTCTTGTAGTAAGTAAAAACGATGTCACTCAGCAACAATTCACAGCTAATAACGAATCTTTGAAAATAGTCGACAAATTACATATCTTGGATACATCGCCAGAGCTGGCTTCAATCGCATCAGGCAGATTTTATGTAATATACACTTGAACATTGATATAAGAACACGAGTATTGAGATGCTATGTATTTTCTACCCTTTTATATACAGTCGAAGCCAAAATAGATGTATATCTCAAGATAGAAGGCAAAAGATCTCAAAAGCACAGAATGACATTGTGGTTGAAGAACATTAGACAGTGGGCAGAAATGACTACCATACATCTATTTAGAGCAGCTGTCAACAAAGCTGTATGGACCAACATACACAGAGGATAGGCACCACAAGAAAAAGAAGACATAATTAATTTCCTTTCTGACGATCAAGCGAAAGAGATCGAGTTCCTAACGTTAATTTCAAAGCAATGTTGTCAAGTTTTTAAATATTTCTTTGTATTAGATTAAGTACATTTTAGAATTAAATTGGAAAGTCCAATAAAAAACAAATATTTACAATCTCAAGCACAAGTAATTATTTTAAATGTGTTTAAGTTTACTACAGAAGAGATCAACTTTTAATAAATCTGAAAAAAAAAGAGCGTATGGCTAACTTAAAGCATTCCTTTTATAATATGAACATCATAACTAAATTTTTGACGCGGCAACAGCGCATTCAAAACACGCATGGTAAACAGGCCTATTATATATCTCTCATGAAACTTTTTTTTTCTATTTACGCGCAGATCCAGCCACTTTTCGCTTGTCATATGATACAATAATACAGTGTTTTTCAATCTTGTTGATTTCGCGACCCCTTTCCAGGTTGAAATATTCTGGCGACCATCTTGTGTCATAGAAAGCCAGAAAAATAATTTAATTAAAACACTAAATACGTTGGGTAATTTTTATGTCTTCACGCGTGTCAAACTGCTTCAGCGACGGCGACGTTGCCACACCGCATTGTCGTTGCGGCGACATGCGCCCCGTGCGCCATCTGCCACCATCCGCAATGTTCTTTTGTTTCAACCCTCATCTAAATCAGTTAAGCGCAGTAACCGATGAGTACGGATGTCATTCTTTTGTTTTCTCGCTTGATATGCGCGTTTGTAAAATGGATAAATGTCTTAAAATATGGCAGCCTTCAACATTTGGTACGAGTGTCAATGGCGACGGTAGTGAATCAAACCTGAAGCACCTTCCGTTGCAACTGCCGGAGACTGAGAGCTTTACGTCTCCATATTTAAAACTCATTGGGAGAAATTGGCTAATATTCTAAGCTTAGTGAGTTGATAGATAGTGGGGATCTAGGAAAGGCATTTAAGATTAAAAGATAATAAATACTCTAAATCGGACCTGGTTATTTCGGATTATAGCCAGGAGAAAAAAATTAACAGCTTGTGAGAGTCTTCTTCTTTTTTTCAGTGCCTATTCGTTCCGAATATTGGCAATCATTCTGGCTATAATTATTTTATTAACTGCTGCTTTAAATAAATTCGTTGTTGTTGTGGAGAACCATTTCCTCAGGTTCTTCAACCATGATATTCTCCTTCTCCCAATTCCTCGCTTTCCGAATACTTTACCCTGTAGGATTACCTTCAGTAATCTGTATTTAGTGCTGTTTCTCATTATATGTCCGAGATATTCCAACTTTCTCCTTTTAATGGTATACATCACCTCTCTTTCTTTGCCCACTCTTCGTAATACGGTCTCGTTGGTTATCTTGTCTGTCCATGATATCCTTAGAATTCGCCTGTATAGCCACATCTCGAAGGCTTCAAGTTTTTTCTCCATTGCTTCAGTTAGTGTCCAGGATTCAACTCCGTAATACAATATTGAGAAGATATAACATCGTAGGAGCCTTACTTTTATCTCCAGATTAAGATTGTGGCTTTTAAAGAGTTTGGCCATGTTATTGAATGCACTCCTAGCCTTCTCTATTCTACATTTTATTTCCTGTGAGTGATCCCATTGTTCATTTACTGTTGTTCCAAGATAGTTATACTGTTTTACTCGGTCCACTGGTGTATTATTGATAAGTAGTTGAGCGTCTCTAACTTTATTTTTGCTGATGATCATAAATTTAGTTTTTGTTATATTTACTTGAAGTCCAAATCTTTCACTTACTTCATTTACTTTGTTTATTAGTTGCTGTAAACTGTTCAAACTGTCTGCAAAAATAACGGTGTCGTCTGCATAACGGATGTTGTTTAGGCGTTCTCCATTTAGAAGTATTCCATGTTCGCATTTTTCCAAGGCTTCACTAAATATTTCCTCTGAATATAGATTAAATAATATAGGTGAAAGTATACAACCTTGTCTAACGCCTCGTAGAATCTGGATCATTTCCGTTGGTTCACCTCCAAAATTCGTTCTTATTGTGGCTGATTGGTTCCAGTATAAATTTTGTATTATACGCCGATCTTTATCATCCATTTGGGCTTTTGTTAGAATATCCATCATTTTTTGGTGTTGAACTGTATCAAATGCTTTTTGGTAGTCCACAAAGCAGGTGTAAATATCGCAAGTCATATCTCTGCATCTTTGAAATAATACTTGTAGACTAAACAGTGCATCTCTTGTACCTACGCCTTTCATGAATCCAAACTGTGTGTCTTGTATTCTCTCTTCGCATAGCTTGTATATTCTACGATGTATAATTTTAAGAAAAAGTTTTAATGTATGGCTCATTAGACTTATTAGCCTATATTCTCCGCACTTTTTTGCTCCCTGTTTCTTTGGTAAGGTAATAAATTCTGAAAGTAGCCAATCTTTTGGGATATTGCCTGTGTCATAGATATTATTGAAGATTTTACATAGTACTCTTAAAGATTCATCATCAAGAAGTTTAAGAAATTCAGATTGTACTCCGTCTGGTCCTGGAGCTCTACCTTCTTTTAGTGATATTATGGCTGCTCTTATTTCTGCCACTAGTATAGGTGGTCCTGTTTCCGTAGGTATTGGGGGCTGGTTCTCTCTCTCATCAAAAAATAAATTTCTTATGTAATTTTTCCAGGTATCATTGATACTCTCTTTGTCCACGATTATCTTTCCATTGTCATTAACAAGTTTACTTACTCTTCTGTTTTTACATTTACCTGTAATTGCTCTTACCTTCTTATGCACGTTGAAGTCGTCGTATTTACTTTGGAGAATTTCGATTTCTTGGCATTTTTTCTCCAGTTCTTTCTGTTTGGCTTCTCTGATCTTTATCTCTATCTCTCGCTGTAATGTTTTATACATGGAGTTATCGTTCTTGTTTTGCCTTCTTTCTTCCATTAGTTGCAGAATCTCTGTCGTCATCCATGTCTTATTTTTACCTTCTTCGTTCTTCATAAAATTGTCTTTAATGTCGTCTATTGTTTTCGTAAGGGATTCTATCTTATCTTGTGAGAGTAGGAGAACTAATTATTGGAGTACCTCTATACTTTATAGTGGTAACAAAAATGTACCTACTTGATACTGTTTTGCACAGTATTAAAAATATACAAACAAAGAATAATATAATTGACAATTTCACTATCAAAAGCGTTTGTCTAATGTATCATTAAATTTATCCTCCACCTATATGGTTATAAACTCACCTGTGTCCAATTTCCAAAAGTCCAATAGGAAAAGCACGGTTTCCGGTTACAGGATCTCAGAATCTGTGGTTTGTTTTCTCCACTGCATCTGTTTGGATTAGCCATATACCTCCAAGGAGTAGTTATGTTGCCTTTTAAATCAGCAAGAACCGATTGTGATAAGCAGTAAGTTTCTCGGTGTTGTACCCCAAGAGTTCCGCATGACGTTGTGCAGGGTTCCCACTGGCCGGGAACCCAGGTAAAACTGCAGCTGAAAGATAAAGATTTGCTAGTTTGTTCAACTATTTCCCAAATGTATCAAATTAATCAGTTGTTCTTGTTTCCTATATATAACTGAGTATATAAAATAAAGTAAAGATATAGTTAAACAATCTCTTTGAAATATGAAAAACATTATAATAGAGTAAAAAAGAAAAGTATTTTTTGATTTGTCGTAAGTTTTAAAAACATATTAGTCTTCATTTTTTTAAAAAATTTATGTTTGGTATACATTTTTAAATTGTTTTATCACTTACCTAAATGTATTGCACTTTTCAAAATCCAACTTGGGTCTTTGCCAAAGGGAACAGAACGTCCTCTTTACAATTTTCTTAATATTATTGTCAAAGCAAGCTGCTGTTCTTTGTCTTCTACCACCACCACAGCTTGCTGAACAAGGACCCCAACCGCCCAGAACCCAAACGTAGCGAGATGAGGGCAGTAATTGGTCCTTGTGGATTGAATACTCAGTTGAATAAGAAATGTTCATACCTAAACGAAGTTCAGATTTTGGAACCATCATCTAAAATCACAAATACTTTACAAATACATTATTTTTGATGATTCCAATACAAACGTTAATTCTAGTTTATTTTATAGAGTATTTTCTTATTTTTCTCAGATGGATTTACTCTTCTCAGCTTCTTTTCTTTAGACAAGCTATCCAGAAACTCTCATGCCAAATTGTCTATCCTGATTGAACCTATATTAGCTTAATCAAAATATCCATAAACTAAAAGAACATCCCAGAAGTTAAGTAGATCCTACTGAACTTAACACAAATTGGGTGTTTATAAAAGCCACGTTGGAAAAGAAGGCAGATGAAGTGTTGGATGAGGTACCCAAAGGGCATCGAAACAGCTGGTATCTCAAAAAGAAAATAATGAAACGAAGAACAACAAATGTAAAAATTGATACAAGTAAATTAAGGAACCCACTGATGAGGCACAGAATATCATGGATGGACCGCGTCACTAACACGCAAGTACTCCAAACTTTAGACAAAAGATGCGAATTCTAAATGAGATAAAAACTAGAAAGATGGAATACTTGGGGCACATTGTGAGAGGTGAAAAGTACGAACTTTTAAGAAACATCATGAAGGGCAAAATTAAGGGCAAAAGAAGTGTGGGAAGAAGAAAAATATCGTGGCTTCGTAATCTACGTGAATGGTTCGGGTGTAGTTCGATTGAACTTTTTAGGCGCGCTGCTAACAAAGTCGCAGTGGCCATGATGATTTCCAATCTCCGCTAGGAGTGGCACGAGAAGAAGAAGAAGACTGATGAGGCAGCCTGGCAGATGAATTCAACAACGGATTAATGAATGTTAAAGAACAAATTCTGCAAAATACTGAGACGGATCAAAAAAGATAGTATATAGTGAAGCCATTTTTGAAGAAGCATTACTATCTCAAAGTGAAGGAATAATAATTAACGGAAGATCTAATAACAACATAAGACATACAAATGACATCGTAATTATGGCAAGCTCTGCTGAACAACTCCAATTTCTGCTAAACAAAACAAACAGTTTCTGTGAAAAATCCAACCTCCGATAGGGAGAATGATCGAATTTCGAATACCAAATGGATTAGTAGAATTTATATGACATTATATTTATATTTGACTTGTAAAAGTATTTTTTGTAATATAAACCAATAAACTATCTATCTATGTATTACACAAAAAATTAGGTGATCAATTCATTCAAGTTTTAGTACGTCTCACGAAACTTACCAAAACAACCATTTCAGCACGAAGAGGTCCTTTCGTCCAAACAGAATACCTATTATTCACCCTCTTATAATGAAACCTGATCCCTTCAAAAATTCTGTAGCGTACGACAGCATCGGGAACGACTACTGAATAACTTTTCTTTTTTCTGTTTTTGAGAATTAAGGCCATGACTGGATTATCTGAGTGGTATTTCGTTATGTTCAGTTCTATTTTCACATTGCGGCCTTTTTCTGGCAAAACTGATATTCTGCTGGATTCTAAAACACAATACACTTTTATTACCGTGGCTTATGCCGAGCTTGTCTTTATTTATTGAAAAAAAGAGACATAGGATTGGCGACGCGTCTTTTTCAAGAGCACGTATTCAATTACCGTGCATACTTAGGTAAACTGTATAAATTATTGGAAAAGCGGCCATAACAATCTTTGGAAAATACAACTTTCAAAGTTATTTAAGTTTTGAGATTTATTATGATATGATAATTAGTAAAAGGTGTCCTTTAATTACATAGAAATTAAATAAAAATAATACACTTAACTTTGTTATCATCACATTTAAGCATAATTAATGTTATTTATATTCACTGAAAACTTTGTTTTCAAACTTCCACAAAATTTATTTTAAATCTTATCACTACAGCTGTTTCGGCTGATTGCCTTTCTCAAGTGATCCATTTTTGGCTTGGGTTTACAAATTTATAGTCACTAATGAAATAGGTTGAGGAGGGGAAAACTGTTTGTCTCAAGTTGGTCATTCAGAATTATATCTGTGTTTTTTAATTTGTTGATTTCCATAGATTCTAACAAAGATAGCTTAAGGCCTTTATTTTGAATGTGAAGAATTTTAAATTTGTCATTAAAAGAATGATTATGATCTAGAAGGTGAAGTGCATATGTCGAATCTGTTTTTCTATTTTTGAAAGCCCTTTTATGTTCTGCTATTCGTTTATCAAAGTTTCTACCAGTTTGACCGATGTAAGTTTTTGGGCAGTCGCCACATTGAAGTTTGTACACACCACTATTTAAGTGTTTTTTATTTTTGCTCTTGTTATTTTTAATATATTTGCCTAGGTTGTTATTTGTTCGGAAAGCTGGTGTTATTCCTTTCTTTTTTATGTGTTTGGCTATTTTTGTTGTTATTTTGCCTGTATATGTAATCGAGCAGAAGGTACTGGGTTTTTTCTCTGGTGGTGGAAATACTAATTTTAAGGCTTTTTTGTGTAGTTTTTGATTCAACATTTTATTAATTGTTTGTTCGTTGTATCCGTTGTTTACTGCTATTTGCTTAATTATATTTAATTCTGTCTCAAAGTTGTATTTTGACATCGAAATTTCTGTTAATCTATGTAACATACTATGATAAGCTGCCAGTTTATGTTGTGTTGGATGGGATGATGAATTGTGTATAGTCGTGTCAGTATGGGTAGGTTTATGAAATATGGAGAAGTCATGTTTGTTTTGAAGTCTGCTAATTTTTAAATCTAAAAAATGTATGGATTGATTTTGTTCTGTTTCTATTGTAAATTCAATATTTAGTAACAAAGTAAAGTCCATCTCCAACAATTAAAATATTTTGGACATGTTATGAGAGCAAACACGGAAAACATGGAAAGACTCATAATACAAGGAAAAGTAGAAGGCCGAAGATCACGAGGAAGATCCCCAACAAGATGGATAGATCAAATTACAGGAATATGCCAAAGACCTATGCATGAATTAAAAGAAATGACCAAAGACAGAGATCTCTAGAGACAGACAATACACGACATCACGTCGACCACTACATTCCTCCTGGGGGTCAGGATTAAAGAGAGAGAGAGAGAGAGAGATCATTTTGTATTAATTTTAACATACTTATTTGATCAGTAGTTGTTCTTCCTGGTCTAAAACCTCCCATATTGGTATTCTCCAATCACTTTGTTGAAGAATCTTTTCCGTAAGAGAAAAGCATTTATTTCCATTATTTACATTTCCATTATTTCGGCATTTCTTCCTTCTGCCAAATTATTACTGTCAAGTGAAATATCATTTCCTTCAATCTTTCTCCAACTTTCATAAAAATCTCAGCTGGGATACCATTTTCGCCTGCACTTTTGTTATTTTTTAGGTCTCTTATTATTTTTTTGACTTTATTTAAAGTTAGTTTTTCGCACGTTTCTTATTCATCTTCTTGCCAATTCTAATTTTCCTTGAGTTCCTCTTGTTTGTTTCTGCAATACTATGGCTGATTCTTTGTAGTTTCTCTGGATTTCTTAACTTCTTGGTAGGAATTCCTCTTTGGTTATGTAAGATTCTTCTATTTTTCAATTGCTTTTTTAGATCTTCTCTTTTCTTTTTTCTGCAAATTCTTTTTACTTCCCTTCTTCTTGCCATATTGTGACTGTTATGTAAGAAGAATATATTTGGTTACAGATGTTACTTACTTCTTGGACTACTGGATTTTTAGAGAAGATGCATCTTATAAAATGAATCAAGGAAAGAGAATCAGTACAAATAGTGTTTTTGCTTTTATTTGAAGTAGGATGGATTGTGTGATGTAAACAATACAGCTTCTAAATAGTCGCACAAAGCTTATTGTCGTTGTCATTGTTGACACAGCGCAGCTGCAATAGTATTCATTCTTAAACGCACCAGTGTATAAAATTTCATCAAATTGTGTTAAATTGAGGATGTTTTGAAAAGATTTTCTAAAAATTGAGTTTGTGGTTTGTGTTTTATTGAATCTGCATGAATCAAAATTGAATATTAAAAGATTGTGAATCCATGGAGCTGTCTTGAACCGGCATTTAAGACCCTTTAAAATATGTCAAGATATTACCATCAGAAATAAGACTGCTGCCAAAAAATCGTAGAAGAACAGCAACCCTCGTATACTGCAATAAAAATATCCAAATTAAGTCTTTTATCTCAGATTATTCCAAAACGTCTGTGCATTATCAATTCCATTTACCGCTTAAGCTTTTCTTGATCTCCATTACCCTAAATACATTTCTCGCCACCCTTCTAAAATAAACGATTTAAATAAGTTACCGAAACGGATATTTACCCTTTTTTAATCGTCTCCTATAAATCCTCCTGACCTCGGTACATTCGGAATTGTCTCCACCGCAGACCCCACATCTGTCCCTTCGTAGAGGAGAATGGAGGATTCCATCGCAGCCCACTACGTGGCACACTCCCTGAAATCAATTCCGCTTAGCCTGAGGACGGTTAATGTTAGGGTTGGTTGGAGGCTGATGCAGAGGTGTACGAAAACTATTGAATTATTATGTAGGCCATCGAAAACATATAATTAGGGTAGCTTGTGCAATAAAAAGTACGTGAGGGGTGGTTTTACTTCAGTTCCATACAATAATATAAACATAAAAAAAACATTAGTACATTGTTTACCGGGTAGGAAAAGCTTTGGACGACTGTGAAGATTGCTAAGTCGAGGCGCAAGCCGAGACTTAGCAACACAGAGTCCAGGAATGTGGCTTTTCCTACGAGGTAAACATACTATTTTTCCGCAAATCGTTTAAAATTCGACAGATATTGATTGATTTAAAAAAACGCGATAATTTTATTCCCAAATAAATGGTGCTTTGAAATTCCTAATAAAATTACTTGGGTTACTATGGAAACGTATTGAGGTTGAATTGTCAAACTTGACGCTTATAAATTTAATTGCTGGTCTTCTCGAAAGTAAAATGATAAGTGATGATGTTCCGTACTAACAACTGTTCCGTAACAACTGTACGGAAATATCATTTCCTTACAGTAAGGAAATGACATTTCCTTACAGTAAGAAAGTCCTGACTTTTTCTTCAAGAAATTTTGACAGAAATGTCAAAATTTCCTGGCGATTTGCGGAAAAATAATTTTTTTAATATAATTTTGGACAATGTAACATGTTTTTGAAACTAATTACCACCCACACATTATTACTCATCCAAAGTAAAGTTTGTTTAGCAGTAAATTATTGACTTCAATTTTTACCGATGAGAAACATCCTGGGTTAACCGATTATAGTATAAAAGGCCCGGTTTCAAGTAGCAATGGTTTACCTAAGGTACAAGGTCCTAATAATGGGCCAAGTCAGATAAATTTAATAATATTTAAGACCGCACTAATTAAAGTCAACCATTTTCTGCCAAACAAACTTACATGACTTTTCGCACGAAAGCAGCACATTTTTATTTTGTATTTAGGTATTTTTTATCTTCAGTTTTGTCTACGAATTGATTGTTTGTAATTTGAATACATATTATAATTGTTGAAACTGTGTACTACATTTTATAATTTACCTATAATAAATATCAAAGTGAGTATTATTGTTGCATTAACTTTGTCTTATACGTTACTGAATACAAATAAAGGAAATGGGGGCTGCTGTCCAAGGTAGTTTTGAAACTCATTGGGTTGAAAGGCATGAAGGTCATCTTTAGTTCCAATGGGCGAGATTTTTAAAAACTTTGTGCCATTGGTATTATTTGTCATTCGTGAATTTGTGGGATCGAAGGTAGGGTCAGGGCGGACGAGGAAGGGAAAAAGCATAGCTTGTTCAGAAGCTATAGCCAGCAGCCCTGGAACTGGACTCGGGTGCAATAGGCTGATAACCTGTTCACCTTAAACTCAGCTATCACGAATGCTACGAACAATGAACTAGCCGGACGGACCAAAGCTACGGAATATGGACTTAATGATAAATTTGCGAGTGGGAACCTGGAATGTTCAAACCATGCTGCAGGTAGGCAAAATGCAAAGTATTGCACAGAAACTATTGAAGTACGAAGTAGACATAGCCGCCCTCTAACAAATCAGATTTAAAGGCATGGTTGCAATAAATAAAAAAAGACAGTATGTACTAGGGAAAGAAAATGGAGAAAGAAAATGGGACACATATATGTTTAAAAATCCTAAAAAGAAGAATGAGTACCAGCGAAAAATAAAAGTAATATTTAATTAAAGAGGCGAACAAAACAACATTAAAGAAGAATGGAAAGTTATCCAAACGACTATTACAAATATAGCAAAGGAAACATTAGGTGAAACCTCAAGCAAAAGAAACCAGGAATGGTTTGACCAAGATTGATAACAAGTAATAAATAGCAAAAATGAACCAAGACAGAAATGTCTACAGAGGGATTAGTGATTGAATAGAAGGGCACATGAAGAACACAGAAAAGATGCAAAGAAAATATGTAGAAGAAAAAAGAGAAAAATGTTGAATAGAAAAATACAACAAATTACAGATCATAATAACAGAGGAGAAACTAGAAAATTTTACAAGGAAACCAAGCAATATACACAGTTCGCAAGGACAACAATGGGACAATTATCAGCGAGAAAGAGGAAATAATGAAATGGTGGAAAGAGCATTTTCAAGAGCTGTTAAACCCAGACAAAGAACAAAACGAAGACGAAGAAATAATTCACCACACATCAGATCAACTAATTGAGCAACGAACATTGGAAGAAACGATAAATGTCATAAAACATCTACAAAATAACAAAGCACCTGACACAGATTGAATAATTGCAGAACTGATAAAGAATGATGGACATGCGCTATGGCAAAAAATTGTTCTCCAAGAGAAGCTACTGCAGTAAATACCAGCAGTACTTCATCGGCACGTTTAAGATTTGCATGAAACAATAATATATTGTATAGGAAAATAAAATACTTTATAAAAGAGATTTATCATGTAAAAAACGTACTCAAATGTAATAAAAATTTTATAAGATTATAAAAAACGATGATTAAGACTTTTATGTAGATATAGATTAATTCGATTGTTTTAAAATACATATTATAAGGACGCCAATGCCGTTTTAACGAGATGGTGATTATGATCACAACCGTCGTCAGGGTATTTGCTAGGTCAGATTCATCACACATAATTAATCTTTCTAATATATACAGACAGCGACATCAGTAGCACGTCACGGGAACATAGAGTAACCATCTCAGACATTATCAGGTAAAACGGGAAAATTTCGATCGGGGATTTTAGCTGACGTGTTTTAAATCATTTCTTCGGGTATTAAATAATCATATTTTTTATCAAAATTTTTAATTAAATTTGTCAACCTAAGGTACTTTGTTTCTTTAGAATTATGAATTTAATATAAAAGATTGGTAGCTGATTTAAAAAAAATAGAATATAAAAAAAATTTTAAATGAGTTCTTTAAAAGCAAAACGAGATAAGTCCAAAGATGTAACTTTTGAAAAAATGGCCAAAACGGTTATCACTTCATATTAAGATATTTTATTTTCAAAACACGTAAAATTTTTTTAGATTGAATAAATTATAATGTGGAGATCTTGAACATTTTTAAGTGGCTCAATTATTATTTTGAAAATGAATTTTATCTGGTTTGCTTTCAAAATTTGGATTTTTTGCATTTTGCATCTAAGTATCTTGCTCCACTCTCATCCAGTTTTTTTTTTCTTGCTGCATTTGTTGAATTATGAGAAAATCTGGGATATTTTGTTCTTTTTGCACATTTAATGCATATGGTGCATTTGCATTTGTTCGGACTAAATTATGAAGACATTCAATTATATGAATAACAAATGTGCATTTTAATGTGCTTTCTACCGTGAGTTAATCTGTAATTACCAATGCGTTTTTTGTTGTTTAACGCTATAGACAGAGTCTTATTACATATTTTAAAAGTGGAAATGCTTCGTATGCAACAAAATAATAAGAAAAATAATTTTTTTGTGGATGGTGAGGTAATCGTAAAGGTGGAGTAATGTTTCCATTTCTCTGTATTCATTATTTCACTCGAACAGCTCTAAATATGCCGCCATCACTATTTCTACCAGCAAAACCTATTTCAATCATTGTAAAAAGTCCATCGGCGTTGCTACAAATCATCAAAACTACAGAATCATAATGTTTGTAATTATAGTGAGGATCCGGAATTGGGTAACTTTTTAATTGTGATATGTTTCCTGGTAGAATTAATCGGACATTTGTTCAACAAATTCGGATGGCGATATTGCTACCATTTAGAGCGTACTAAATCATGTAATTACTTCCAACTTGAAAGACCACTTCTGGCGTGGGAAATAAGAACATAAACAGTTCAAACAATACGTAATATAATAAAATTGAACGTTACTACAACTAAGTTAATATCTAGCCAAAGTTTTACAAGTTCTTTATTGAAATAGCCGATCACTGCCTATACACTGGTCCGCGACACACTACAAATATTAGCACTGATACAGATTAAATATTACTACTAATTATCACTTCAACTAAGGATGTTCTCTTATATTTGAATAAACTTGATACATAATGAGCGTTCAGCTTTTAACTTTGGGCTATGTAACGATAAATAAAATGCGGGGGATAAAACTCTAAAAACAAGAAGCGACCAGCTCAGCTGGGATACAATTTGATACTGATTACGCGAGAACTAATGCGTCGAATTTGATTGAATTTGAAAATAAAAACTAACTTATATGCGAGCGACCAGCTAAGCTGGGGTACAATCTTATACTGACTTAAAATTCCGATTTTCAATACCTGACTATTGCAAGGGATTCGCAGGAGGATGGGGACAAAGTACAGCCTGCCTACAGAGGTAGATAGAACCGACCGATCTAAAAACCGACCTTTTGAATTCTTGTCTAACAGAGAAATTTTTGGAATTGGACGGAGAAAGTTAATCAACGGGTAAACATATCATTTAAATACATTCTCGACTTTCGTTAGAATTTACCTAGGTAGAAGTTAAGAATTGTAAGTTAATTGCTACCAGTGGCGTAGCAGCACATTTCTTACAGAAATTTATCCATACTGGAGGGCGCGCGGCTAGGTGTAGTATAACTTCAGCTAGAAATACCCTAAACTTACTTCTTAACTAAAACTACAGTGCTACTGAAGGCTATAGGCTTCAGACAATGGAAGAGAAATAAGCTTAGTGATAGGGCGAAAATATTCTCCATCAGCAGTAATGACACGGACAATTCTAACTTTTCCATCTTTGCTGCTAATTGATTCTATCACTCTTGCTAGGGGCCACCGTAACGGAGGTGTATATTCACTGTGATTAGAACTAGATCATTTAGTTTCATATCTGTGGTGGGAAGGGGCCATTTTGGGCGATGTATATATAAACGACATTTGCATATTTATATTCCTGACCAGTGGATTAGCCTCATAAAGATGGCAAAAGTTACTTCCCACAGTATAGAGTGAAAGATATGTCCCAAGAAGACTTTTTTAGTTTTAAACCAATGGTTCAGAAACAGAACTGGAAGAGAACAAACACTGTAGAGGTAGTAAAGATAAGCAAAATTATAGAAATTCACTTCGAACCGAAAAATCTCTATAAAACATCAACATCAAAACATCATACATAAACATAAACATATAAAACAGCAACATCAAAATTACGTAAACCCTAGAAACATAAACTACACCAATGTCTTTTACCCATTGACAGTAACAAATTAAATGGTCTATTAAGTTTATGTAAAGCCAATTTGATACCAGCAATGTACCATGGGTTTTATAACTCCCTGCGGCCTGCTAGTGCAGACATTCTACCAGAGTGCTCTACAGATCAAGAAACTGGTTCCGAATCTAAACAATAGCGGTGTATTGTACTGAGCAATTAGTCGTTGTTTATTATTATAATTAGTGTCATAATGTCATTATAAACAAATTGCTAAATATAAAATATTTGATAATTTTATTTGTTTTATTATTGTAGTATGTTTTTATAAATGAAATTTATAATGAAAAAATAATTACTAAGTAATAAAATGAAAATGAGAACGTCACTTTTCTCAATTTTCTTTAGACGAAATTATCTGGAAATGACTGATCTTGAGTTATGACAGTTTTCATTGGGAGGGTCGATTTAGTATTGATACTATTTTTATTACTTTTATTACTATGTGTAGACAAACAATCAAACTTGATGCTAGTTTAATTTAAAAAAATGTATTTTGCTTTGTATCACATGAAAACATATTTTAAAATTCTCAGTGTATGTATTACCTACAAATTCTCTGACGAGCAATTTCCATTCCTAATTCATTCATTCGCACACACTCTTCCCGCCAAGTTGATTTCTTTTTGATTTTCTTCGACACATTTTCATGAATACTTCATCGGGTTATGTCAGTCTAAATCTTGTCATATAGAAAATATTATTCTAAATATTCCAAAGTTCAAGTCTATTTCTGTCCCTTTCGTTCTACCCTTTCTGTAAAACGAACGCGTGTCATTGATTTTCAATTATCACCACGGTGTGTGAGGACCTACCCGACATCTCGCAGTATTGGATGATGGCAGGTTACCGTAACCTGTTGGATTGAATCATTAATTCCGTTTTTTAATCCCTGTGTTCTACTACCTTAATTATAATTTCAATAATTATAGTTTAACTTTAATTGATAAACAAGACCACGAGGAATCGATTTGCGGTGCAATTATATTTATTCGGGGTGTTTCTGTATTTGACCGAAAACACTCTACCACAGACAATTATAGGTAATTGATGAATTTTCGTACAAAAAAACATACATTGTTAGATAAAAGTTAAAATCAAAATTTCTATTCACAGAGTCATTGGCTGCTTTGTAGTCTATAAATATGTGATAAGTACCAATGCCATATTCAAGTGCTTTTTCCAAAATTTGTTTCAGAGTTGCAATCTGATGAATTGTCGATTTACCACCTCTGAAACCAGCCTGGTATTTTCCTATTATCCGGTCTGCATATGAAAATATTTTATACGCTGCATTTAGAAGCGTTATTCTTCTGTAGTTAGAGCATTCAAAAATATTTCATTTTTTGTGTATGATGCAAATTATTCCAATATTCCAATCATTAGGGAGGGTGTCCTGTGTCCATATTTTTTTTATGATTTGCTGTATTGCCATTATGGTATTAGTTAAGGTGCAAGACAAGTTATTTCTTACAATAAAAAAATAAAACACCATTTGTAGAACTAAATAAGTCAGCAGCCGGGTATAGGAAGTTAAATGGGGTAGAGCTCCAACAGGAGCCCCCTAGAGTGTCAGGTACGTTCTAGTAGAAGCACTGAAGGACTGCCCCTTGGCTTGAAATTAACTAATATTTATACATAATATTTAGAGAGTTTTTAACACAATTGACCAATGGGAAAGTTGGTCCTCTTTGGTCCACAGACTAAGGCACCCGGCGACATCCCCTTCTTTGGAGACACTGGTGGCTGGAAAATGTTTATTAAAAAATTATGTTCGAAATAAAAGTAGAACTTAAAGGTAGAAAAAAATATTAGAAGAAATAATAAAGTCTAAAAATGTTCGAATTCACAACACACACAACGCATGCAGGATTCTAAGGGGCGATGTTAAAACAGCATCTCCTTCTTCAGCAGGTTCCATCCTTGGTCCATGTACCGTCTTTCTTGTCGGGCTCGTCTTCCTCTCAGCATATATACTATCCACGGTGGTGTCGTAGGCGACTCTGCCCGTGGGGCAGGTAGAGACACTGGCTACTACAGGATTTCCGTAGCTTCCGGGGCTTCAAACATCGAAGAATACTGGCTCGTCGAAGATATTTTGTACAAAGAAGGCATCATGCCTGTTAAACTTTAGAGCAGTAAATGCTCTTTAAAGGTAGTGTTTTGGCTAATGTTAGGACTAGGTACTTCAGTATTTTGTTGTGGATAAGAAAGGAATTTTAGAACAGTATGTAGAGTTCTTCTCCGGCAAGTTTATTGTTCAGCTGGAAACAAGTAACCTCTGTTTTGGAAATATCTGGTTGTAGTTTTCACTTGCAAAAATACATGCTCAGTGTATTAGGGTCTGGTGTAAGGATGTCTTTAGATGTTTTAAGTGTTCTATATCTGATAATAACGACCCAATCGTCGACGTACCCTTGATTGTGTTTTCGGCATATAACTGTTGTGGTAAGTGGCTTTTTTTGTCCATGTGCTGAAGGGTAGTGTTTATCAAGTTCTGTGTAACACTATGGGGTGACATGTTTTTCCAATTATTAACAGTTTCCCTCCAAGTCACCTCAAAATTACGGTTAAAACCCGACATCAAGTGGTTGGGTCAAATGTGTTGAGTTTTTGGTCAAACATATAAAGCCCACAAAACAAGCTTTTTTTTTCATAAAAAATATACTTACTTCAACCAAACAACCACAGGTTTTACGCTAGTGTTTATTAACTAATCCAACGTTGTTAACTGTTTATTAAGCTTCTTAGATTTCAGGGAAAATTAAAATATTCAAAATCATCCTCAATTATCAATGTTGCCCATTTGGATCAATTTTACCCCATTTTACGGTATTAATTCAAGGAATTATAAACGACTATACCGAACATCATTAATAACACACTAATCAAAAATTTTTAGGTCAAAAAGTATGTAGAAAGTGTAAGCAGTCCCAATTAAAAAGTGAAAAAAAAACATTGTTAACAAATCAGTCAATTTCTACGTCGAAAATATGTTGTTATTACCTTATCGGATGAGCAGCAGGGTTTTCGCACAGGAAGATCGTGCACAGATGCAGTATTCATCATAAAACAGATTACCGAGAAAGCACTAGAGTATAACAGACCAGCATTCATATGTCTAATAGACCTGAAGAAAGCGTTCGATAAAGTAAAGCTTAAAAATGTAATTCACCTTCTTTACGATAGAGAAATTCCACTAAATGTTATAAAAACAATAGAGAACATTTACCAGAACAACAATATGGAAGCCAGAATAGATGACCAGCTTACAGATCCAATAGATATGGGCAATGGAATAGGACAAGGAGACTCGCTTAGTCCAACGCTATTCAATCTAATCATGGATGAAATCATCAATACTATTAATAAAGGAAGAGGATACAAAATGGGGAACAAAAAAATCAGAATACTCTGCTATGCAGATGATGCGGCCCTAATTGCATCCAATGAAGACGATCTACAAAGACTAACCCATAGATTCAACACAAGGGCAAAGGACTTTAATATGGTGATCTCTACACAGAAAACTAAAACAATTGTAATCAGTAAAGAACCAATTAGATGTAAACTGAAAATCGACGGTATCAGCATTGAGCAAGTAATGGAGACAAATTACCTAGGAATTACACTGCCTAGCTACGGAGATATGGAGAAGGAAGTGAAAAATCAAGTACAAAAGTCTAATAAAATAGCAGGTTGTCTTAATAACACGATATGGCGCAATCCCCACATTAATACCGACGTGAAATCAAGAATCTACAAAGCAACAATAAGACCAATAATGACATACACTTCAGAGACAAGACCGGATACCTCCAAAACTCAGCAACTACTAGAAACAGCGGAGATGCGTTTACTGAGGAGAATTACAGGAAACACACTGAGGGATCGAATGAGGAGTGAAGAGATCAGAAGAAAATGCAATATACCAGAAATAAATGAGTGGACACTGAACAGAAAAAAGGAATGGAACGAACACATAAAGAGAATGGAAGAGACCCGAGTAGTCAGAATAGCGAGGGACAAATCACCAAAAGGTAGAAGAAGTATCGGGCGACCACGCAAAAGATGGAGTGATAACCTCCAATAGAGGCATTAATCGACATTGAACAAGCATTTTGCTTATAAAAAAAGAAGAAGAAGAAACTATGTTGTAACGACTAGAAAAAGAAGACAGAGTAAATTAATTCATCATCTTAAAAAAGAGTTGATCCAATTAGTGCAATTATGTTTTGATAAAAATAAATTAAACCAATATCTGAAAACAACAGAAAAATTCCTCTATGATTATCCAATATCCAACATAAAACCTTAACATTAAATCTACTGTAGATGTTAGATAAAGCAGAAAACTCGTAAAAGTAATATCAATTGATTGCAAAGATAATTGATGAATACCTACAGAAAAAAAATTCTTGAGTAACAAATATTAACGAAATTAAAAAAAAAAAATAGATAAATTTTGTAGTTTAGTACGTTAAATAATGGGATGCTTTATTATTAATACCAGTCTTTGTTGTTTTCATTAAAAATAATCAGTTTTTAGAATTGAAAATCCACACTTACCTGCACACATATATTATCTTCATTCTCATAAGAACATGGTGTTCCATCCATTAAATTTTCATTCGAAAAAAAGACTTCTTTCTTGCTGCCATTTAGACAGTTAAATTTACACTTTTTGGCATCTGAAACAATGATATTTATAGTAGGTATATAACAATTTCTAATTTATTCAGTTGCATCGGATATTTCAATAGAAAAATGTGTTATTCGGTATATTGTTCTAATCTTATTTATTATTTATTTAAAATATTTAGTATTTTGAAAAACTATCTCTATTAGATATTGGTTTGTATCGCTACTTCTTTCTTTATGCAAGCACAAACTCTATATTTTCATATAAAGTTGTGGCTAATTACTAATCCATTAAAACTTTTCTAGTTAAAAATTCAGTTTGGAGCGCCTAGCTCGATTTCAATTAAATGTTTAAATTAATTAAAAAGTACGTACAGCTCGTACCTATACTATTTTTTACCATGTATGTTGAATATCTAATAAATTTTTAGTGGTTTTATTATCAAGTTCCAGTATTCATATCGCTTTGAGTTCTAGGGAATCTAGATGAAATAGGAAAGATACGGAATAGAAATATTTACCATCAACATTACAGAGGAATTAATTTATTAAACACAAGAATAAAATTAACAACCAAAGTGATAACAAATAAACCGAATGAAATTATAATACTAGCAGAAAAACAACAAGGTTTTAAAACAGTAAATAATTTCTAACTTATTTATAAATAACAATAAGGCTCCACAAACTGTTGGTATTCCTGTTACATATTAATAGAGATAATGACATTACAAACATTCCAACAACGAAAGGATAAATCCGAATCAAAGGTCGTTTCTAAAAACTTCAAATCCTCTTAATTCAAAATACTCCCACCAAATTATATTTACTTCATCAGTTATTAAATAAACATCCTGCCATTTTAATCTCGATACACTTGTTCTTGAAATTAAAAACAATTTTGTTTATTAGGAAATACAAACATTTATAAACGAGAATCCTACCTGTTTTATTATTATATTTTACTAAATCTCGTGTCATTTGATTTCTGGAGCAACTTGTTTTCTTTAGACTGGTACACATAAAATCGATTTATTGAATTGAAATTAAGAAACAAGTCTTACCAGAAAAGTTTTGTTTATTTGGAACTACAAACATTTATAAACGAGAATCCTACATGTTATATTTAGTAGTTCCGTGTCACTTGATTTCTGGAGCAACTTGTTTTCTCTAGATTGGTACACATGCAATCCATTTATTATTATATTATTTTACAGGTTTTTACCTGTTAGATATTAGTATAGTTTACCTGTTTTTTTAAGGCAGCAGTTAATAATTAATGTTTTTCTATCATGACTTTTATATTTAATTTTATCAAATAGTAATTTCGCATTATATTTTTATTAATTTGATGTTTTTTAGGGGCGGAAACTACCCCTATTAAGATCGTATAATTAAAAATTAAGAGGGTAATTGATTCAAATAATCTTTTAATGAACTGAATGAATTTCAATTAACGTAATTTAAAGTTTTATCACAGTATTATAGTTATAATTAAAGCAATGCTATTCAATACCTTGCCTTCACTGATTTTTGAAAATAAATTTGGATTTAGGCTACATTTATCCTCCACTTCAAAATTTGACTTGTGTTGTTCTTTGCTTTCAATTTAGATTTCTTAAGTTTTACTGTTTTAAGTTTTTACTACATAATTTCTACCCGTATAAAAACCACCCCTTGAGAAGAAATTCGAATAGTTGTAGAATTTTTTTTCATAAAAAAAGAGGTCAATCTTCGTGAATGGGTATATTTATTTAAAAACCCTTAAAAGGGCTACACCAAACAGGATTTTTCTTAAATAAATATACCCATTTACGAAGATTAACCTCTTTTTTGTAATACGTGGTATACAGCCAGCTACAGGAATTGTTTTTCTTGTGGATTTTTTTCATTAAAACTATAAATACAATAATATTTTTAATCACAACGTTAGTTGATATTAAGTGTCTGCTCATGATGTGATATTGGTAGAAAATGCGGAGAGGAGATTAGAAAAAAAACTATAACGTTTAAGACAAGCCTTTAAAGAAAAAGCTAAATAGGACAAAAAGTCACCATCTAGAATGTACACTTGAACATAGAGTTACTATTACAAATAAAATAGTAACTTTAAATGGTGAAATTTTTGTATTAACTAATTTTTTGTGTATGAATTATTGGTATTATAAAAATATATAGCAATAGATTTACACATCCTTTGATTTATTGCAACATGACAAATTAAACATCACTTGACACAGAGAGGATAAAAATGATGTTAGAAACAACAGAGATGAAAACACTTAAAAAATTTGATGGTAACACTATGGGATAGAGTTAAAACTATATATATCCCTAGATGTGGACGTAGATGCAAGGTGAAGAACATCAAGGACTGGGTAAGAAATAGAAGATTACAAGGGAAAGATCATACAAAATGAATGACAACAAATAGAGTAGTAAAAACGGCAAGAGATGTTCTCCAATAGGAATATGATCATTAGGAAGACCAAGAAAACAAACAGTAGCGAGACCATGTCTACATAAAAAGAAGAAGAAGAAGAAAATAATATTAACCAATCAATGACCGTGACTTATTTAGGCCTAATAAGACCATAGAGTACATTATCATTACAAAAGTATTATACTTATTTGCAAATAATTATAAGAAATAAGGCTATTTAAGTTTTATGATAAATAAGTATGCACCATATATTAAAAACAGAAATTTGGACAAATCCCAGATATAGAAATATGAAATAGAAAGATGTATTAATAGTAATGAAAGAAATAAGCAACAAAAAGAGGAAAATCAAAGAAATAGCAATAATATTACCAAATGAAAAAAAATGTGTAGCAACCACATCAATGAAGGTACCAGGCCCTGATTACCAATACTGAAAGAAGTCAGCAATAAGAACATTAAACAAATTGTAGAAAAAGCCAGAAAATTCAATACTAACCAACCCATACCAACCAATTTATGGTATATTAACTACATCAAAGCGTTCAACTGCGTACATTAGCAACTGTTGAGCATCCCCAAAGACATGGGTAGCCCATCTGATCCAGTAATAAAATAATATTTACGACAATAACCGAGGTCAGGTCAAGGTGAAAAGTGAACTTACTTGAGTGTTTTTCTGTCAACAAGAGTATGCGACAGCAGTGTCTATTGAGCCCCATGCTCTTCAACATATACCGCAAGTGGATTAGGAGATTTACAGGACTGGGACGGAGAAATTACCACCGATGGCACTAAAGATAATATATTCGGTATGCTGATAATACTAGCCTCATTTAGCCTCATTGCTGCATCTAAAGAAGAAGAATTAGAAGACCTCACTAGTTGAAGAAAAATTCATGGAAATAAGTCGATCCCTAGATTAACAAATAAAACACTAAAATAATAATAGTAGATCGACCGAAACCCAAATCATTATAATATAAAGAAAATCTTTAACATCGAAACAATTCTTTAAAAAACAGTTTCATTTATCTCGGCGCCTAAATAACAAACCAATTGAGATACAGTAAAGAAATTAGAAAAATAATTGCATTGACTAAGAAAGCCATGATAAAACAAAATTTGGAAATTTATCTTATAACGCTAACGCTCTTAAATAAAAGAGATGCCTTTAAGATGGATTGCTGACATCGAATGCTAAAAGTATTTTAGACTAGGAAAAAAACTAATTTATTATTTATCCAACATGTCCAAATAAAAAAGAGACTCCATAGTAACTCAAAACATTGCTAAGTTTTTCAGCCGAGGTAATTGAAGACATGATTTGGGAAGACTAACAGTGGGAGGCATGCTTCCTGGCAAAAGAAGTCCAGGAAAATCGCCAACTAGATGTACAGGTCTAATTAAAAACATACAAGCAAATCTATACCACAATCAATAAAAATAGCGGAAGATAGAGAAAAATAGGACTTGATAGTAGAAGAGATTTCAACAGAGCATAATGGTTGAAACCAACTACCGACTATAGTGTATTTTTATGTATGAGAGAGTAATAAAACAATAAATTATGTATGCAAATCCCTAAACTGTTGATACGGGTGACTCAATGAAAAACAGATATTTGTCAACAAGTTTACAGAAGTATATAGGAAAACAATTTTAAATTGAGTATGACCACCAGGTATAAAGGTTGGAGCAGAATAGAATACAATAGTTGTGAGGGTTACTAATCCCTAAATAAGGTTGCCAGTGTCGGAGTGATGGAGGTTAACAGGTACTAATGAATTTGAAAGAAATGTAAGATGTTTATTTTATTGGTTATATATAACCAATAAAAGTTTAATAATTACCTACCTATTTGCAAAATAAAGTTTAATTCTTTAGATAAAATAAAACGTTTTATTTTATCTGAAATGAGTGCATTCCACGAAATAAGGGTTTCAACAATCAAACATTTAATTCTTTAATTCCAGGAATCTACGACAGTAATTGACTAGATAATTACCTTCTAAACTTATTCCACAGAAAATGTGATAGTGGGTTTTTCCATTTGGTAGGAAGGTCCAAGTGGCGTATTCAAAATTCTTAACAGTTCACTAAAAGTAGGTACTTCAGTTGCAAGGTGCAGTTTATTGTGTATACTAGTGTTATGGAAAATTTGGAAGTGCCGTGTAAACGCCGAAAAATTGGTCCTTTACCAGTTAATGAAAAAAACATTAATATTTAATTGTTTTAAATCATTTACAGACAAACGTTTATGTGAAAGTGTTGATGAGACCATTGAGTTAGTTAGCAGTACACTTGGTGTTGGGAAATCTACGATTTACAGAGTTATTAAAGAAGAGAAATGTGGTAGTTTTCAAATGCCACATAATGCTCCAGGGAAACCAAAATTTCAAATAGAATATCATTTTAAAGAAGGACTTCGACGGAAAGTGCATGAATTCTTCTTTAGACAAGAATTTCCAACATTGGATAAAGTTCTTGTCTCAGTTCGAGATGATAAGGATTACCCAGAAATGAGTCGAAGTACGTTATGAAAACTTTTAAAAGAAATAGGCTTCCGCTGGAAAAAGAATCCCAGAAAGTCTATTTTATTAGAAAGAAGCGATATTGTCATATGGAGAAGACATTTTCTAAGAACCATAAAGGAAATGAGAAACCAAAAAAGAAAAATATTTTATCTTGATGAAACATGGATCAACGAGGGTCATACACCAAATAAATTTTGGCAGGATGAAACTGTTACAAGTCAAAGGCACGCTTTTGTAAATAACTTATCTACTGGTTTAAACCCACCATCAGGAAAGGGACGCAGGCTGATAATAGTACACATTGGCAGTTCAGACGGTTTTGTTGAAGGTGGTTTATTAACTTTTGAATCAACTCGTACCGGTGACTACCATAAAGACATGAACGCTGATGTCTTTCAAGAATGGTTCGAACAAATGATAGATCTTCTTCCTAAGAACTGTGTAATAGTAATGGATAATGCAAGTTATCACTCCAGACTTATAGAAGGACTGCCCACAACCAAGTGGTTAAAAAAAGACTTGCAGAATTGGCTGAGTTCAAAAAATATTACGTACCATCCCGGATCTATAAGAAAGGAACTTTATTCGTTGTGTGCCCTTCATAAAGAAAAATTTAAAAAATACGAAATTGATGAAATTGCCAAAAATCGTGGAATGACAGTGCTTAGATCCCCACCATATCATTGTGAATTAAACCCGATTAAACTGGTATGGGCACAGATAAAGAGTGAAGTTTCAAGAAAAAATACCACTTTTAAAATTCATGATGTTAAACAGTTGTTTTTGGAGGCCGTAAATAATGTAAAACCTGAAAACTGGAAAAGGCAGTAAATCACACTATTAAAGAAGAGGAAAAAATGTGGAAGCTGGACAATATTACTGATAAAATGATCGAGCCAGTTATTATAAATCTTGGTTCTGAAAGTTCATCTTCTGAATCTGATTTGGATTTGTAACAAGTAGCTGTAAGTTTTATATTAATATTTTTATTCATCTATTTAACATACCTTAGACGGTTTTAAAAACTCTTTTTCTCTTTTGTAATTTTTAAAAATTAAAAAAAATGTGAATTTTTTAAAACCCTTTTTAATGTAGGCCAATCAGTTCTAATATAGTGTGTGATAAAAGAGGTCACTTTTGTTTACATACACATAACACTTTATAACACTGAAATAATTCATTTATTTTTTACAATTATTCAAAGTAATTGTTCAATTAATCTTGAGCACGCCCATGGAGTGGTCCGAGGTACCAGTTAAAATTATGCTAATTACTCTCTCGTTCATAAAAATAAACTATAGGTAGAAGCAGAGTTTACAATAATTACCTATAAGTCATGCATAGAAATATATTATTATTATTATTATAAATAAATATTTGCAATTGGGTTTTATAGTGTCAAAGGGCATAAACAGTATAGTAATATATTTTCAACCATACCATGCAACTCGTCAAAGCCATACCTGTTCTTTTGTTAAAGTACATTCAATTTGAATTGGTAATTTTAGAAAAAAAGCAGATACAAAAAACCCCACTTACTTTCGTCACTCTCGTATGGTAGCCAGGTGAAATTGTCAGCGGCCAAATTGAAAATTTTCGGCAAATGTTTACACTGTTGAGCCCTTAAGTCAACAAAAATCTCAGCCCCACATCCAGTCATTGTACATAGACGCCATTCTTCCGCATTGCCTTCACAAGTTTTTCCGCCAAACGAAGGGCTACAACAGATTTTTAAATTAATTTTAACCACTGGCATTGTTGTGTTAAACGAAAAATGTAAATAAGTAATATATCAGTAAGCAGTCATGCATTAATTGAAATTTTTTTGCCAATTTACGATTTTTCTGTTTGAATTAAATGATAATAAATGATAAATGATAACAAATATAAAAACGGATGGATATCTAAACGGATAAAAAATTTACTACAATAGTTAATGGTACCTAAGTCCTGCTCTTATATTCTCTATAAATTGTGGAGTAAAGTTGATCGTGGAATACGAAGTTCCTAACATTCTTAAGACGAGAACAGCAACTAAAGAAATTGGCAATAAAAATGTCTAAACGAATTTTCTTCTAAAAGAATTCTGTACAATAAAAACTTTTTCTATTTGTTTTCATTACAAAAGAGTCTCGAACGATTTTTAAGAAAAACGTGCGAAAATAAAATATGCAACAAAACGCTTATTGACTCTTTTATGTAAGTATTAAACTACAGTTTTTTTTGCATTAGGAAATATACAAGGGATGATGTTAAAGTAACACCAACGATTCTTGAACTTAAAGATGCAGTTAAAAAACTACCATAAACAAATCACCCGGAACAGATAATCTCCCAGCTGAACTATATAGAGAAGGTGGTCATGATACCATAATGGTATTACAGCAGCTGGTAAAAGAAATAGAGATACAGAAATCCCTCCCCAATGATTGGAATATTTTAATACTTTGCACCATACACAAAAAAGGAGTAATCTTTGAATGATCTAAAGCCGCGTTTTCACAATGACAATTGGCGAGACAATTGTCAGAAGACAACTTACTGGTATGAAATTATTGTCTTCGTCTAAACACTTCAGGCCAATTGCCTTGCCAACTGCCCTCAAAATTGGCCCAAAATTCAGTTGTCTCCTGGATGGAGTAAACTGAGGACAATGAGCTGCGCTCAATGAGCCCCCCACCATTCGAAATCTCAATTGTCGCGACAATTGGCGAAGTGTGAACGGTGTAGGCCAGTAGTGTTGTCTTGTTTTTTGCCAGTTCCCTCTAGTTCTCTAGTGTCAGTCAAAACATACACGTGGTTTGTGTTATTCTTATCCGTCTACTGGCATGACAATAGTTGGCTCCGTATAAACATCTTCTCGTTCAACTGGACTGGCCAACGACAATCCGCAACCACGTGATGACAATTATCCAATGACAATTGTCTCGCCAATTGTCATCGTGAAAACGCGGCTTAACCACAGAAGAATTATTCTTCTTAATGTAGGGTATAAAATATTTTCCATAGTACGCGTGCAGAAGGGATAGTACAAAGGGGAGAAATTCTTGAGAAGGCTAGGACGCACTCAGGGTTGTGAAGCCAGAATAATGATGATGTTAAAGTACTAATACGTCTGCTCCATCGTATAAAGCTATGGAAAATGCTGTTTGATAATTTACCAAGATAGTTTCTTTTGTAAGGTGAACCATGTGCAACTTTTTATCTCTATGAGTACTTAAAAATCTAACTTTATGTGAGCTGGTGATGTGTAGGGATGTAGTCATATACGAAAAATATTAAGTCTTCTCCCCTTTCTTATTTTCCAACTTCTGACAGAAAATTCTCCACTATCACAGTAAACCAAATTAAGTATTGAAATTGATGGTCGTACTCCTTTTTTCGAAGTAAATAATGTATTTTTCTAACCCCCCTCTCTCTCTATTGGGATTGACTTCCTAATTCTTGCCGCTTATCTCTGTTGTTTGTAAGACGTTTTCACATTGGTCCTGTAGTTTTTTTAATATCGTCGCTCCGGCACATTTGCGGTCTTTTGGCTTCATATGGCCGCAAATACCCGATTTCGACACAGTAAACCACCAGAAAATGCTAGAAGCTTTAAAAGAGTACCGAATAGATCACCGCTACACCACTGTCATCAAAAATATCTATGGTAATGCCACGGCATGCGTCAGACTCCATGAAGATACACACAAGTTCAACATTCATCGTGGAGTTCGCCAGGGCGACACCATTTCACCAAAACTGTTTACAACATTATTGGAATACATGTGTAAGCGTGCAAACCTAGACGAAAAGGGAATAAACATAAATGGAGAGCAGCTTAGTCACCTCAGGTTCTCGTACGATATAGTTCTGATAATAGACCGCATAGATCATGCCATCGAAATGTGCGAAAGACTCTACCATGCCTCTACACAAGTGGGTTTAAAGATCAATAACTCAAAAACACAAGTGATGACAAACCTTGTTCTGAGTGAGAACATCAACATAGCTGGAACAAGTATAGAACAAACATCAGCATACAAATATCTGGGACAGGAAATTCGCTTAAGTAGAGATAACTAGACCAATGAAGTAATACGTAGAATAGGGTTGACATGGGCAGCTTATGGAAAGCTAAGAGATGTTTTCCAATCAGCTCTTCCCATCTGCTTGAAGAGAAAAGTCTTCGATCAATGTGTGCTGCCGGTTCTAACCTATGGTGCAGAGACGCTAACACTTACTAAGACGTCCGCAAACAAAAATTCGAACAACACAGAGGGCAATGGAATGGTCCATGTTGGGATTAACCCTGAGAGACCGAATACCCAACACAGAATTGCGCCGTAGATCGGGAGTAACCGACGCAATCAAAAGAATATCAACCTTAAAATGGAACTGGGCAGGGCACGTCGCGAGAACGAAGGACGGCAGATGGACAAAATGCGAATATCTCTCAGTGGGGAAAAATACAGTCGAAGACCTGACATTGGAGAGTGACAAAATCAAAGGAACAAATAGAGTAAATTAACTAGGAGTAGTGTTTACAAAAGACGGAAATAGCCATGAAGAAATAAATACAAGAATAAACAAAGGCAGAAACATTACCAAATGCCTAAACTCCATTCTCTGGGATAAAAAAATCACAAGAACGACGAAAAAATGAATATATAAGACGATGGTTGAGCCGGTGGTAACATACGGAGCCGTGGAGCAGAGATATGGGACACTAGTAAAAGAAACAGAAAAAAATTACAAGCTACCGAGATGGATTTTATGAGAAGAAGCTGTAGATTGACAAGGATGGACAGAATTCGCAATGAAGAAATAAAACGTAGAATGGAGCAAGAAAAAGACATTATAGATGAAGTCCAGAAAAAACAACTAACTTGGTTCGGTCATGTAAACAGAATGGCAGACGAGAGGTGGCCAAAGAAAATATTAAAATGGATCCCAACCAAAAGAAGGAAAAGAGGGCGTCCAAGAAGAAGCTGGCGAGATGACGTGAATGAAGCCATGGAAGGAAGACAGCTAAATGAAGCCGACACCCGAGATAGGAAACGATGGAAACTAGGGACAGGAAAACAACGACAGTTGTAAACAACCTGTACTATATATATATATATATATATATATATATATATATATATATATATATATATATATATATGTTTTTCTTTTCTAATTTCGGTTTGGTGCATTTACGACTTCGGTTTTTCTCTATGACTTGTTCTATACGGTCTTCTTGATGTTTTTTAATGTGCTATTTCATCCGTTTTCTTATTACTCAATTAAGTTCCTTAAATTCTACAGTGTATCTTTTGTTTTGTCTCAGAAAATCTTTTGTTTCAGCATGTTTTGTGATTCTACACTTATTTTGGATTTTTGTTTTCTGTTACCGGTTGTCACTTCCGAGTTAAATTTAATAGTTCTTTTGTTATGAATAAATTTATTTCATTTAAGCTAAATTTATCTAGATTTAATACTGTCGCGGGTTTTAACTTGCTTTTATATTATTCTGTATTAGATTTTAGTTTATCTGTGTCTATATTCGAACTTTTTCAAATTTCTTTCTATTTTTATTATGTTTTATCTATTTATATTATATATAACGGATACTTTCTCCATTTGGGCTAGATATTTACGATATCAATTACAGTCTCGGACCTCTCGTATATAAAAAAAAGGTATCGAAAGAAAAAGAGTAATAATTGATTTTCTTACGGTGGATTGTCACATTTTCTCCCTCTGAATTGTACGCCTGTTCCACAACTCCTCGTACACGGTCCCCAGGGACCCCACTCGCCCCATTGCCCATCTTGCGGGTTCAAAACAATCGGGACCCTCTCTACTCTCCTGTTGGCGAAATCCTCGCAGTAGCCGTTCATACACCACTGAAACAGGAGACACAAAAAGGTAACATAAGCATGTGGTATATATTAGAAGGATTTGGAAGGTTTGAATTTAATTTCGGACCTATGGGAAATAAGAGCAGCTTTGTGTAACGGAATTAAAGGAACAGTGGCCCTTGACGATTACCAAAGCAGTTGTGGTTGGATTTTCAGCGGCAATTTGGATCATTAAGTATTAATATATGTAAATTATTTAGGATAATAGTGAATTAGTTTTTTTATATATTTATCGTTTTTAACACTAGAAACTATATTATTTGAAATACACTCCGCCAAAAAAGTCATCTGATGACTTTTGAATCCGATGAAAAGACTCCGTCAAAAGCATTACCTATGCAACTGCAAATTTTGTATTAAAACTGTTGTTTTACTGTTGTTTGTTTTTGTTTTTTAAGTACACAACAAGAATTAAAAGAAAAATGCAGACTGGACGAAAAACAAAGGTTTTATTTAATTTCATAAATTAGAAGTAAGTGCACAAACACCATTGAATAAAACAAATACCTAAACATTAAAAGTAATGTAATTACTATTTAACTGGGAATAAGCCACAATTAAAGATAAAAATACGTTTATTGACGTTTCAATTTCCACTTCGGAAATCGTTCTCAAAATACAAACAGTAAATTAAACAAATTTTGTTTTTTGTTACATAGTGAAAAATTCTTCTAATAATTTAATTTTATCTGACTCATTTATATTGGCAATTCAGACATACATTATGCATTTTAAAGTAGACGACTTTAAAATGATATTGCCAATATTGTTGAGTTGCGCTCCTGGGACGACTTTACTTATAAGATAGTTCATTCGATTACATGAAATCAACTTTAACTTGAGAATATCCGTCAGAAAAAAATCGTAGCATGTAATTCATCTTTAAAAAGACAAATACATGACATGATGACAGTAAAATTCTGCTGTTAGTGATTCCATAGTAAATTATGAGGGAAAAACCAGGAAAAAAAACCTCATAATACTTTCCCAACATTGTAAGTATTTGTTCGTGAATTTAGTTTACCTTCAACAAACATCAAAATTCTGATTTTATATGTTACGTTATTTAAAAAACATAAATGATGTATCCTCTATATGTTACTGACTTACCAATACTGGTATTTTCTTATTAATAACTTCCTCTTTCAATATTGGTAACCAGATCCTACTACATTCTGCCGAGGAATTTGCGACACAATTGGCCTCATTTAGCATAATTAGAGCCGCGTCTTTGATTTTTCTTTTTTTACCATCCGTTTCTTTTAGAACTATATTTGAATTATTCCATTGAACCCTATGTTCATTATCTCATGCGTGTGTACATATTTGAGATCTATCAAATTATCTATTTTTAATACAAGATTTTTAAATATAATTGTTACACCTTATCTATCACCTTAAAAATTATGAAAAAACTTTTAAGCAGCCCAATTTAAAAGGGAAAATGGTGCATTGCCTAGAAAGATAGTAACACTTTTTAATCAGGACATTTACGGTATCTTGTTTTCTTCGTGAATTCCTATTTCAAAAGCGAATAATGTCACTTTTACTTTATTTTGCAAAAATATTGTAAATTTAACATTCCTGATCAAAGTACTTTAAAAATATATATCGAGATTTAGTCCAGGAGGGGATCTTAAGTCTGTAACTCGCTGTCCGGAGCACACATTTTGGGACACAAGTAAAAAGTCATTTAAAAATTAATTTTAGGGAAAAGATGATAGAAGGCTGTTGGGGAAGATAATATCCCAATTGAAATAATAAAGATATTACTAGACAAACACATCGAAGTAATGGAAGATATATTTAAGAAAATATACGAAACAGGCATAATACCAAATGATTGGCTGACATCGGTGTTTATACCACTACCAAAGAAGAGAAACTCCAAGAAATGTGAAGACCATAGGATTATTAGCCTGATGAATCATATGTTGAAGCTTTTCCTACGCGTATACACAATAGAGTATACAATAAACTAGACGACCACACTGGTCAAACTCAGTTTGGTTTTAATAATGGGTTCGGAACAAGAGAAGCACTTTTTTCAATACGTGTGCTAGTTGAAAGATGTAGAGATGTCGATTCTGATGTATACTTGTGTTTTATAGACTTCCAGAAGGCGTTTGACCTGGTGAAACATGATAAATTAATAGATATTTTAAGGTCATGTAATATCGACGATAAAGACTTAAGGATCATTTCAAACCTCTACCAAGAACAAAAGACGAAAAGGGAGTAAGACAGGGATGTGTCCTATCACCTTTGCTGTTCAATGTTTACTCTAAGAAGATATTTCAGAAAGCTTTGGAAGGCACCTCGGATGGTATAATTATAAACGGGCAATGTATAAATAACCTGCGATATGCTGATAACACTGTCATACTGACAGATAATGCTGTAGCCCTACGACGCTTAATGGACCGAGTAACGACAGCCTGTAGAGAATTTGGAATGAAATTGAATACAAAGAAGACAAAAACGATGGTCATCAGCAAGCACCAAAACAGAAGGGTGAAGGTCAATGTCGACGGAACAGATCTGGAAAGAGTAACAAGAACAACGTACCTTGGAAGTAATCTTGATGAAACTTGGGACCACTCGCTAGAGATAAGAATACGCCTGGAAAAGGCACGTACAATGTTTTACAAAATGCAAAAAGTTCTATGCAACCGCCAGCTGGGCATCTCATTGAGAACTAGAATACTGAAGTGCTATGTTTTCTCCACCTTGCCCTATGGTGTTGAAGCCTGGATAATGGCAGAAGCAACAAAAAAAAGAATCCAAGCATTCGAAATCTGGTGTTACCGTAAAATGCTCAGAATATATTACATGAGCCATACGACAAATGCGGAAGTCTTGCGGAGGATGAATAAGGAAAGAGAACTTATGCTTATAATAAAAGAACGGAAAACACAATATTTTGGTCACATCATAAGAAATCAAAAGTATGAACTGCTCCAACTTATAATCGAAGGCAAAGTCAATAGCAAAAGAGGACCAGGAAGAAGACGCAACTCCTGGCTTAAAAACCTACGGCAATGGACGAACATGACCTCCATAGAACTATTCAGGGCTGCTATAAATAAGATTAAATGGGCAAATGTAATGGCCAACGTCCTTAAGGATAAGGCACCGTAAGAAGAAGAAGGGAGACAAGCTCTTCTAGCTACCTTTAAATTCATGTGGTTTAACCACAAAGTAAAATAAAGTATGTCCCATCAGGGCATTCAAAGTAACTGTTAGTACAAAGCCTCCTTGTTTTCACTTTCCACAAAGCAGTCCACTGTTTCATTGGAACATGCATGTCACTCATGATATTAACTTTTATGACTGCCGTTAACAACTTTAAAGTACTATTCATCAGACTAATGCCTCTATAATGTTCAAGATTTCTTGAGTCTCCCTTTTTAAGTATCGATAGCAGGAGATTTTCTTTCCATTCCGCTGATACTACTCCGGTATTTATTATATCGACAAATAATGTTAGGAGCCATTTGCGTAGTGCTGTTGCTCCATATTTTAGCAGTTCATTGTTTATCTTATCAGAACCAGGTGGTTCTGTATTATTGTGGTCTAGAGCCCGTGTTGTCCAACTACTATTTACAGTACGCTGGAGTATGTTTCGTTCGAGTTCCCAATCCATCTGTAATAGCTTTTAATAGTAATTTTCTACTTCTTTTGTAGTTTTTACTAACCTGTTATAACGCTTGACCAAATTCTACGCCGTCCCTGTAGCAAAATAAAGCGCTCTCCCTTTTACTAGTTGAGCTATAGCGTTGTACTGTTCGATTTTCAATTTTGTATTGATTTTGTGCTGTAATGCCTTTGTTAGCCCTTGGGATTTTTCTAATGTTATAGACCGGATAAATTTTAACAACTTTCAAAGCTATCACAACAACGAATTTTTTCGCTTTGTTCTCTCTTTTCGGAACGTAATAGAATTTTCGCCTGTACCGATTCTACCGGAGTGTTTTATAAAAACGTTTATCCATAATTTCGTACCTTGTGTTTCAAAAAGTTAGTGAATTATTTAATGCAATTAAGTTTAAAAGAAATGTACAATAAAAGTGTTTTTTTATTTTTCAGATAAACACAAATTATTTTTAACGCCGCTGTTTAAATAATGGTTTTAATGTAATCTTGGAATGGAAAAACTATAACAGATGGTTCATGTAAACAGTTTTTCTTTCGACCATTTAAACAAACCCGTATTCATGTTATTGTGATAATCAGCCAATTTTGATTTTGGAGAAAACTCAAGGTCCACTTTATCAATAAAATCATATTTTTCACCTGCATGCAATAATGCAGGTCTGCATTTTTTTTGTTAGTCTTATTATCAACAGGAACTAATTTGCTTTTATTAAATATATTCACCACCACATTATAAGTAGTTGTAACCTCATTAAAATATTTTATTGGAGTACTTACTATACGTGAATAAGTGATCGTCATAATTGATTAATAGGGTGGGTCGAAATACAATAATGATTCATTTTTCAATCGCTATACCGCGGAAAAATTGGAAGTAAAATAAAGTTGAACCCCCAGCTAGCGCATCATAATTAGAATTTAGATTTTTTTCAGAAATCAAGACATTTTTCAAATATTTTTACTATCTTTAGCCAATAATATTTGAATGTGCTATAGTAAAAATTGTTTAGCTAATAGTGTAAAAAATAAGAAATAAATTTGAAACAAACAATACCTTTTAATTTGCAGCAGCGCAAGATACTTAAAAATTTTACTTATATACCCCAAAGGCAAGTTTTCTACGGTATATCGATTAAAAAATGAAACATTATTGTATTTCGACCCACCCTATTGATTAATTCATTTTATAAAAATAAGTTTTATTTCAGTTAACCTACCTTACCAAACCCACATTCAGTTCCCTCAAGGGGTGGTCCTTTTTTCGTCTTACATACCAAGGGGGTTTTTTCGTGTCCACACCATAAATGTGTACATGGTTCTATAATTTCGAAGGCAGTACACATTTTATACCTAGAAATAAAAACAAAGACAATTACAGAAGTAAAGAAGATGGCGTGAATAATTGAGACATATTAAAGATAGGATGGAAGCCTCTTAAGCAGATTATATCTATCTAGACCTGAACTTTATATATTATATAAAAATAAGAAAACAAAATATATCGTGAAAATGACATTGTCAAACAAAAAAGTAAAAATACAATGTTAAGTGGGTAAAAAATAAGGATATTTTTATTAAATTTAAAAGTGTATTCTTGAATTCACATAAATCTCCTAACTCAACAGAGCTCTTGCTTCGTGCTTCAAGAATTAGGACAAATTCTTGAAGCATTTCAAGTTCCGTAGCAAAATAATTAATCAGTTATTCAAAAATTTCTACACATACACACTTTTATCACAATTAAATACAATAAATATTTGATAATATTTAGTGTACAAAAAGGAAGTACATATGTGGGAAATTATTAATATAATTTCTGTGTATGTGGACTATATTATATAGGGCTGGTTCAATAAAATTAGGATAAGTAATAAAAGGTATACAGACAATAGCAAATTAAGTTTATAGAAAGTCTTACCAATATTTTTTCTGCTCCACACTCTCACGGTTGTTCCCGGTCTTCACTCGTGGTTATTCTTCACCCGCGAAATCTGTCCGATGCACCGGTTTCTGAACACGTGTTTCGCAAATATATCACGATATAGAGCACACTTTGTCTGTACACGATTTAATACAGTATTTTCGATATTTCTCGCGTAACTAAAGCGGGAAAGAGGTAATTACGATAGAAAAAACAGCCAAGATAGATATTGTTCTTCTTGATAAGCGAAGAGAGAGAGAGAGAGAGAGAGAGAGGAGAGAGAGAGAGAGAGAGAGAGAGAGAGAAACTATGAGAGTGAGAATGGTCTGTCTTTAGCGACGAGCGACCATCAAGAGAGTGTTTCTTCTTTGCTATCTTAAAACTGTCTGTATTTCTTAAGGGAGGGGGTTGAACTGTAAGTAGGAAGGGTTATTAAGGGTTGGACTAAGATAATTATTGTAAAATTGTGATATAAGGATAGTTAATAATACAGCGAAAAATGACATGATTTTTTGCATGTAAGAAAATTTAACATTTAGTATTAATTAATTTTTCTGAGGTATATAAATATGTCTCTTATTCAATTATGTATTATTATTACAGAAATAGTAGTGAGTCTGCTTATTCTACGGCCCAAGTTGCATCTATCTGTGAAAGGACAGTACACCGAGTCTAAAAACAAATTTCATCCAATCAAATTAAAAATTTTGCACCAACTTTTAGATGATGACCCTGACCGATGACTAGAATTGTGTGAAAATATGTCCAATCCAATTAACTAACAGCCAGATATATAAAAAAAAAATTTTAGTGACGATAATACTTTTTCCCTTAATAAAAATGTTAACACACACAATGTAAGTGTTTAACATATTCAATTTTCAGAAAAAGTAAATGTTTGGGTAGGTATTTTGAGAAATCACGTAGTGGTTTTGAGAAAACATGTGGAAAAACCACATGTTTTTCTTAATTTCGTTACCTAGGTAAGAAATATCGTGATAGATGGATTGGACGACAAGGTTGGACAGAATGGCCAGCTCGGTCGCCGGACCTCACAGCATTAGATTTATTTTGTGGGGTACTTGAAATCAAGGTTTACGCCACAGCACTCAATAGTATTGTCATTTTGAAACAACGCTGCTACAAGATTATAGTGCAATTTCTCCTAACATATTTGAACGGGTCCTACAAGAATCTACAATAGGATGCATTACTGTCGGAAAGTAGATGGAGCATATTTTGAACCGTTAACATAAAAACTGGTTCTAAATCTTTATTAACTAAATGTAAAACTACAATTTTAGTCTTTATTTAATTTATTTATCAAAATCTCTTAAACCTAAATAAAATTACTATAGTTTAGTAAGAATTTACAAGTATTTTTTTATCCCTTTAGATATTAAAAGTATATATACAAACAAATTAATTCTCTTATATTCCAAGTCTTATTAAGGGTTAAATACATGGTCACCGTATATACAGAGTGGCCCAAAAGTCTGGAAACGGCTAATTATCTCGTAAAATGCTAATCATAATTGTACAAAATTTGAGGTACACCTATTTTGGGATACGGAGATTCCATATTTGATATTTACAATGTTGCCAGATTTCCCGTTTTTCTTATATTATTAGTAACTTTGGTTTTTCAAATACATCACCCCATATATTCAGTCATTATTGGAATCTCCTATTCAATACGAGTTCAACCATATGTAACACTTATGATTTTATGTAATTTGGAAGGTCATAAATACATAAAACCGAAGTCTGGCAACGCCTAAATTGTTTCAATACATTTTTTAATACTATTTTCAAATACATTAAAACGTAAGAATTGATAGTTTAGAATATTTTTTAACATAATAGTTACCAATAATTAATAGTTAATTGTTAATTCCAATAATGACTCAATATATAGGGTGATGTATCTGAAAAACCAAAGTTACTAGTAATATAAGAGAAACTGAAAATCTGGCACCACCGCAAATACCAAATATGGAATCTCCGTATCCCAAAATGGGCGTATCTCAAATTTTGTATAATTACGTCTATTAATTTACGAGATAATTAACCGTTTTCAGACTTTTGGGCCACTCTGTATAGTACACCATCGTATATAGGCACGAAAAAAGCATAGTACCACTTGTGTTATGCCTTTATAGAAGTAAACATTTATTTGGATTTCAAATTTGTTTTTGTCCCAAAAATTTTAAAAACAATTTGTAAACGGTTGTTTATTTTAAATAATTATGTAGTATGTATTATACGATTAGGTCTTGCAAATTTTCCCGCTGGAATTTCATAGCCAGTTTTCTACATAAAAAGATTTTGTTTTAAAAGAACTTATTGAGTATATTTTGAGAAGTACTTACAAAAAAATTGGTAAACCTTAACATATATTATTCAATTCAATTAAAATCTGTTCGAATGCAAGAGACTGCTCAAATGAAAGAAAAAACATTGATGAAATCTGCGAGATAAATTTATTAGTCGAGATTTTAGTGCATTTCCTGGAAACTTCGTAAAATACAATCTTCGCAAATCAGTAGAATTAATTTTATCCTGGAAACTCCCTTCGCTTTTCCAGTTTGGTAGTTAAAATGATACTAGACACGAGATAAACCTAATTCGGTGTAATAAACTTTACGTTTTATGAGTTTGAGTAGGATAAAAACGATTTCAAATATATACGAATAATCATTTGATCTTTAATTATTTTTTAAGGGAAGCTGAAGAAATTGTTCGCTCTTTTGATATAAACGTTTTATTTTGTTCTAATCAGTGAGCGTAACGAATATGAGGAAAATTCTAATAAATTGAGAATTTGACCCAAGAAGATAATCGTTTTTACTAATACATATTTTTTAAAAACGTTTGAAATTTCAAACAAAAGATTTACATTTGTATGCAAAAAAACCAGTTACCTTGGAATAGTTGAACCAGATAAAAGAGGTAAAGGACCAAGTAACAGAAAGAACAGTGAAAACGAGACAAAATTGAATACTAATCACATGAACAAATTTCCGAGATACAGAAGTCATTATTCTAGAAAAGTCAACGCCGCTTCAATGTATTTGTCTTTAGAGTTAAACGTACAGTCTATGTATAATCTATATTAAGAGATCTGCGTTAAAGATAATAGGATACCACTTTAATAAACGAAACTGGAGACCAAAACAGTAAAATAAAAAGACGTATCGAAATTGCCAGGGCCACCTTCATAAAGATGAGAAAATTCTTCTGCAACCGAAATATAAGCATCCCTCTACGATTAAGAATGCTGAGAGGCTATGTATTTAACACGCTATTATACGGTGTAGAGGCCTGGACTCTCAAACAGAACAACATGAAAAATATTGAAAGTTTCGAGATGTGGTGCTACCGTCGAATGCTGAAGATTAGTTGGGTTGAAAGAATAACAAACTGTGAAGTAATACGAAGAATAGGAAAAGACCCAGAGATTTTGTTAACGCTAAAGCGAAGAAAACTCGAATATTTTGGCCACCTGATGAGAGGACATAAATACGCATTACTTCAAAATATAATGCAGGGAAAAATAGAAGGAAAACGGAATCCAGGCCGTAGAAGAATGTCATGGTTGCGGAATTTGAGAGAGTGGTTTGGCTGCACCACTAATGAACTCTATAGGTCAGCCGTAAACAAGGTCCGAATAGCCTTGATGATTTCCAATCTCCGATAGGAGTGGCACAAAAAGAAGAAAGAAGAAGGATACCAGTTAAGTTATCACAGATATGTGTTCAATAATCATTTCAATTTACGATTTCATATACCACATTTTGATACCTGTTCCAGATGTGATAAGTACCAAAATATTATTAAACACTCAGCAGATCAAAGGAATGTCGCTGAAACTAAGGTTCAACTATCTGTTCACCACCGTAAAGCTGAGCTAGCCTGTGAAACAAAAAATAGACATAGATACCTACATATCTTCAGCAGATATCTCAGTTGTATGTTTTGATCTGCAACAAACTTTACCCACACCGCTGATAACAACATCTAAGGTGTTTTATTTGAGGTAGTTGTGCACATATAATTTTGGTGTGTATGATTTGTTGCATAACAGGGCTCATATGTGGGATCGTGTCTTCTCTAGTTCATCAAGTCTCTACCACCAACCGTAACAAAACTTGTGATTCCTGTGGACGGCAACATAAAAATAAATACATAAGCAAATTGTTTATTCTTGTACAAGCTACTCACTTAGAGGAAATCCGCCATCAATTTTTAGAACCTGGACACACGTATATGGAATGTGATCGTTTTGTTGTACATGAAATGAACCAACAAATATTTTTTACATTCCAACAATTAACCCAGAATTAACCCATTCCAACCGCAGAAATTAAAAGCCGAATAGAACAAGCCCGAGCTGCCTTTGTAAAAATGAGAAACGTACTTTGCAGTC